TTATACAGGGACACATGCCTCCGCCTGGGAGGAGGGGACTGGACCTGCCTGGACTGAATCTACCAAGGTGAACTCAATCCTCAGGGGAGTCTTCACCATGGAGGAGATGGGAATGGCAGAGGGGAGGGGGAGAACAAGGAAATCCGTGGTTGATATGTAAAATTAAATTAAATAATAAAATAATTTTTTTTTTAAAAAAGAAACAAGGCTGTGTGGATATTCCAAATGTGTCCTTGGTGAGGATAAATTAAGACATTCTGTGCTGTTTGCTATGATTCCAGTGTGAATGCGATTTCAGTGATGCATGGAGTCAAGGCCACAGCACTGCTGATTGAGATGAAGCATGCCACTCCCAGGTCAGTATTACTTACTGCCTTACACCAAGTATTTCTAGAGGTGGAGGCTTTTAAGCTCACTAAAGATATGCCTTCTCATCTTTAAAGTGGCAGGGGTGACACCTGCCCCTGGCAGACAGTGTTTTACAAAAATGTCACAGCAATATTTCCAGACTTCCATGCCCTTTGGAATCTTGCTTCTAATGAGATGAGATTCTACTTAGCCTCCCCTTGAATCTGCCCAGGAGTTCATGCCTCTCCACATCGAGTGTGGGACAGTAATTATCACAGGACTTTAAGGTCATGTCATGAAAGGTGCTACAACTGCCTATTGGCTCTCTCCTTTAGGCATGTCAACTTTTGACTCCATGAGGCACCACATGAGAAACGCTTGAACCTTCTCATAAAAGGCACCTGATAAGAGACCCTAACCCCAAACCACATGACCAAGCGGCTTCAGAACTTCTGATCCCTAGAGACCATGAGAGAGAAGAATAGATTATTAATAGTTTTAAGACATTAGTGATATGTTTTGTTATATGTCAATAGACAACTAATATACTGCTCTGTAATTTATGAAGTATATTTTAACTTTTCAGATTCTAGCATCAATTACTAGCAGATGTTTATTAATGCGATACCATGTGTTTTGCATTTCTATTCCTTTGCCCATCTACTGCCACCAATATTTCCTAAAAAAAAAAATTATAATAACACGCCTCTCTGTAATGAAATTTTCAAGCGTCTGCTTCAGATTCTCTTTTAAGAATAATTTCTGTAAAGCAAAATAAAACATTTGTAGAGGAAAGGTGCAGGGTGCATATGCCATGTCTTTTTAATAAACAGGGGGGGGGAGCTCTCCAGATGAATAAACTATGCCACCTTAGCTTTAGCTGGCGGAGTAGAAGAGTAACCACGTCCACAGTGCAAAATGACATTAATTGTGCTATTTGTTTATGTGTGTATGTGTGTGTGTGTGTGTGTGTGTGTGTGTGTGTGTGTGTGTGTGTGTGTATTTATGTGCATGGGGAAGCCAGGGTTTGGTGTTGTGTACCTTTTATCAGTAGGATTTCATCTCTAGAGATAAGGGCTATCACTGAACCTGAAGCCCAACAATTTGCATAAGCTAGCTGGCCAGTGTGACTCCAGGGAGCCATTTGCCTCTGCCCCTCCCCCAGCACTGTGGCTGGCTATGCACTGCTTTGTTGGGCTTTTCCTGAAAGTGAGGGATCCCAACTCAGGTACTCAGGTGTATGAAGCAAGTGCATTCCCAACTAAGCCGCCTCTGCAACTCCATTAATTATAATATTTTAACGAGTTAAACTTATACATCATAATATTTTATTTCTAACCCAGCCATTTTTCTCACTGTTGGGGATTGAACCTAGGGCCACATGCATTATATTCAAGTGCTCTATCACAGAGAAATAAATAACTCCAGGCCCAGTAATCATTTTTGACATAATACATAATAGACCAAATGGTGCATAAACTAAAAAAGTATGCAACCATAAAAACAAAATTATAAACGATAGTACTTTTATGCTGTTCTAATTACTCTTCCTTTGTTGTGACAAGATACACATACAAAAGCCACTTAAGGAAAAAATGGTGTCTTTTGGCTCTCACTCCAAGGGTACAGTCCATCATGTCAGGAAGTCATGGGAGCAGAAACTTGGAGCAGTTGGTCAGGAAGTAAAGAGTGATACATGCTAAAGTGCAGCTTGCTTTATCCTTTATACACAATATACCGAAGCCTACAGAATGGTTCTTTCTCCATTTAGACTGTGTCTTTCCACTTGATCAACCTAATCAAGCTACTCCCTCTCAGGTGTGCCAGGAAGCCTGACACCTAGGCAATATTAGATTTGGTAAAGCTGCCATCACATATTAACCATAATGTCTGTCTTAAACCATACTTAGTCCCTTAGGGGAGATGGCAGTCTACACGTACTGGCCATGCCAAGTCAAGCTGTAAACAAATGTGTTTTGCAGAAGAAATAAAAGAAGTATTAGCTCTTGTTCCTTAGGAAACAAACTGGATGAGTGAAAGTGTGGTGACAATACAGAATGACTCAAACTGTGAAATAATAAAAAATACCAATCTCTGACCTTTTACACTCAATTATGTATCGAAGTGTGATGTTGCTATCTAGAGGAAGTTGATGAGAAAGAGAAAGCAATACTAATGATCCTTTAGTATAAAAGTGTTTCTCCCCCACGCATGTGCCATTAGAAGGATTAACACTTAAAGAATTGTTCCTGTCTACAGTTGAAATGCATTGACGATTATAGCAACCTCCTTATGATTTTATTAGGAATACTTTTATTTTGCCAATGATAGGGACAACACAGTGATTATGTCTGAAAATCTGTGTACTTCACCTCAACTTTCAGCTGGAATAAGGACAGTATCTTTTCCCACATACATAACTACTTCTGTGTGAAATAGAGAATATAAACATAATGATATATTTTATAAAATTATTTAGATAAAAATTGAAAGAAAATGTGAATAAAAAGATGTGAGTAATCCTCTGTTCAAGGTGGGCACTTTAAGGATGTGACTTCTGGTGGGCCAATCACATTCCAATAGATGACCCTATACCCAAATGCACAAACATGGGCAGCATAAAGTGGGCTCATCCCTGGAAGAGTCTAATTCTCCTCCTAGCAGTCAATAGTTGCCTACAGTTATTTGTCTAAGGATGGACCCCATGAAAATTTCCCCCTTCCATGTTAACATGTCTTTTGCTATTGTTCCAGTCTTGTGTATGCAGCCATTTCAAGGAGAGAATGTTTTACAGCAGACTTCTTCGTATTCTGAATCTTTCTGCTCATTCTTCTGAGATGTTCTTTGATTTTTAGGTCCAGGAGTTGACATCTGTCAGTTGCAACCACCTACTATCTAATTGGACTCAAGGCTCACTGAACAGGAGGGGAATCATATCTGGTAATGGAAACCTAACCTGCTTCTCAAGACTACTAAGGTCATGAGTCTTAGAAAAGAATCTGCTACCACCACTTTGCTAGACAAACATAATTTCTTATTATATGCTTAAGTCTTGTCATTATAGCCACAGATAACTGAAGCTACCTCACCTCATCGGAGAAAGCTTATCTTTGAAGCAAATGGAGACCATAACACACACACACACACACACACACACACACACACACACACACACACACACACACACAATTAAGCACAATGCAGAGATCATTAGATCATAGAGAATCTAGCCCCAAAGAATAAAAGCAAATCAATTTTTCTATTGGAAAATTGAAGCAAAGAAGTAATGTGACTTTACCATAGTCACCGAGTTAGTGATAAAACTGGAAAAATAATGAATAAGTAAGTATCTAATCATGTAAGTAAACAAATAAATAAATGGATTCAAACATCTTAGTTTAAAATGCCGTATCTAATCATGCAGATTTGAATTGCAATCCTGATATCTTGATGACACTCAGGGATACATCAGCATTTTCTCACATGTTCATAATTTCTTATCCTTGCTTCTTAGAAATATTTCTTCTTTTTTTTTTCCTATCCATCTCTGGGGCATAACACACACAGCCCCGTTATGCCACCTTGCTTAGTTCAGTCTACTGAAGACCTACAAATTAACTTCACACAGAACAGCAGTATCTAACACCTGACAAAACATGGCTATGTTAAGCCCTCAGAGACCATCAGGAGCACACGTCAGTGTGTCCAGGCAGACCCTGATCTGGAGTCACAATGCAGTGACCGAGGCCGCTCTCCATCGGCATCTTCAGCTCAGTGTGCACTGATGACCTGCAGCCTGCATGCATGAGTGAAACACAAGCAGTAAGAATGGCAACCATTGGGGGAATTTTCACACTTTAGTAGGTCTAAGATGCACAGAGAGAATAAAATTCTTGAGCAGAGCATAAGTTTACTCTTCTTGGTTGTGTGTTTTGGTTTTCTTGGGCTTCTTTAAGGCTCGTTTGCTGACCTCTGTCCTCTTCATCCTGAACATTTCATCTGAAATGCTAGGCTGATTTTCACAAAGATTCATAATATAAAGTACAGTTTAGAGGTCCAGGGTCCATGAGAATTTTGAGTAGGACAGTCAAGTAACAGGGCACTGGACTCTACAATTAAATAGCCTTGAGGAACTGTTCATAGCTAGCTAGTGAGGCTAGCAGGCTAAGAGTGCTCTTCTTCTCAGAGTTGCAGCTGCAATGCACAGAGTGTCTTTTCCTGGATAACTTTCTAGTCCTCAGAGCTGTTTGGTACATGTGTCATGTGCTTGCTTATGAATTCATGATCTGTGGTTCTTGACTCTCATTGTACCCAGAAAGCTAAAGAAAACCCTTCTAAACAGAGAGTAGGTTCCCATAATATTGCAAAAACTATCTCAAGTAGTTAATCATGGTTGAAGGAATGGCTTGTTAATCAATTATCTCTCATATATGGAACAAAGTCAAAAAAAGTTTGTATATCTTTTGTCTAATTTGGAGCTTCTGATATGGTTTGTTACCAATACAATATTTCAGATACATATTTCAAGAACTTCCATACACAGCCTGTATAAAAATTAAACCTTCAAATTTTAATGGAAAGCTATTTGATATAAATGAAGAGAAAAACATTGATGACCAATGAAAACAAAAACCACAAAAAACAGAAAAAAATTAATTTTCAATAATTTATTCTATCTTTGTTAGGCCAAGAAGATTTGTATATATTATGGATGATCAAAGAATCTTAAGTTTAAGGTTTCCGGTTTTGATGAATAATCTTACTATATAAACAAAATGGTGAACAAGTGCTATATTTTTCTAGACAAGAAGTGAGAAGTTGAAAATGAAAAGTTGTAATTCCTCATCACCCATTCATTTCTTAAAATCCTTTCCAATGTAGTTTCCAAACAAATTCAGATTCACTCTTTCACCGGTGTGCACATTCTCTCTCTCTCTCTCTCTCTCTCTCTCTCTCTCTCTCTCTCTCTCTCTCTCTCTCTCTCCACTGGACGAGGGCTTTCCCAGCACACTGTCATTGCTGGTCTGGACTGGTGCAGCCTGGCATCTTCACTTACTGTCACCAACACTCAAATCGCCCACAATGTCTAGCAATCTAGCAATACCACTAAGAGGCACATACTATCATATTGTCTTTGCTTTTTCCATATGGTCCTTTTCTTAGGCTACAATTCAATTTAGTGCCTTGCCAGATCAAAATGGCCTTTCCTCTCAGTCTTCTCTTTACACATGAAATTGCTTTTTCCATAGTAATTCCCACCATTCCTAGAACTATGCAATGTAGGATCTCCTATTCATGTAGTTCTACTTAAAAAATATCTTCTCCAAAAACATATTCTGAGCTCCAATCTCATCCTTAGTGACTCTCTATTATTATGATTAGTATTTGGACTAAACAGACTTGGATGACCTTTCACAACATGCAGTCATAGTCAGCAGTTTTTAGATAAGTGAAAGAATTAAAAGGACTTATGAGATGGGAGCTACTCATAAGTAGATACTCATAAGGGATACAAATAAAAGGACAAATACCATAAACTTAAAATACATTTTACTTTAAAACAAATATATTGGTGATACTTTATAAAATATGGACATATTATATACATATTACATTAGTTATTTTGATATATTGTTTCTTGTAGTCAGGTAGAACAGAGGTGTTGTATTTTTCTAAACCTTTATTTATACTTATTAATGAAATTATTAGAAAATATATAAGATTTGATTGCATTATCAAAAAACAGTGTTAGTTGAGCTTGGCTTCTTTTTTATTAATTAAATTAATTTTATTTCATATCCTGACCACCGTTTCCCCTCCCTTCTCTCCTCCCATCCTCTCCCCACACCTCTCATCAGCCCCCCAAGGAAGGCCTGCCCACTTCTGAGCTTGGCTTCTTAATGAGACTTCTGAACTCAAATGTGTTTGGGAAGCTAAATATATTTTAATAACTAATAGTTATTAATGCCTTTTAATATCAAGGCTGAATTTGTTATTTAAACAAATAATTATCTCTTAGGATTGAAGGATAAACAGAGGCAAATCACATCTCTATTTCCTTTTCTCTCTATTGAGTTTTCACTGAGAACATTCTATACGTGATAGTAAGCAAGGACATGAACAGTTATATAAGTCTGGGGGAAAATGGCTTTGAAAAGGTCAGTGGACATGCAAAAGCATTCTTTAGCATGAGGCTATAAACTCAGAGTTCAAAAGAATCCAAACTTTGCCAGGCAGTGGTGGCACACGCCCTTAATCCCAGCACTCAGGAGGCAAAGGCAGGCAGATCTCTGTGGGTTCAAGGCCAGCCTGGTCTACAAAGTGAGTTCCAGAAAAGGCACAAAGCTACACAGAGAAACCCTGTCTCGAAAAAACAAAAACAAACAAACAAACAAAAGAATCCAAACTTCATATGTCATTTACATATGTGCATTGCATACACATTTACATATATGATATGCTAGTTCTCCTTTGTGTTTTCTGCTCATGAAAGCCATTTCTTGACCTGAAATTTCACAAGTGCTTTCTCAGTGGAGAAAATGCTATATTTGTCTCTAATTTTTTTTCAGCACATTGAATATTCTTGTTGTCCTTTTGTGTTTCTGTAACAAATCACCACAGTCACAGCTTTTTGAAGGTTCCTTTTCATAGTTCTGGAAGCTGAGGCATGTAGAGTCAAGGCATTGGCTTCAGCTTGGCATCTGACAGGAAGCTTCATCTGTAGTATTCTTTGGAAGGAGGTGAGGGTCAGGAACAAAGGGGAGTAAAACACAAGAGAAGTCAGAGAAGGTTTGCTTTTGTAGAAAGTTGTTTCTCAAAACAAGGACCCATACTGGCCATAGTAACATCAGTCCTTCTTGAAGGCAGAGCGTGCATGATCTAATTCCTCCTAATTGTCTATTAGGCCTGCTGCTTTGAGGATTAAGTTTTCTGCACATGAACTTTGAGAAACATTTACAAACTATAGTAGACAATTCACTTAACTTTATATAACTCTCAAAACACATTCTATACGTAAGAGCAGACATTAAGTCTAACGCTACTGGATTTGGTAGGCAGCCTGATGACATAAAATATCCTCCTTTATGAAACCAAATAGACCTCGATATCATGTAATGACTTTGTGACTGTGCAATTTCACTTCTGCAGGCCTTAGATTCTCCCTCAGAAACCATGTTAACTCATAAGATCATAGTGAGGTTGAATAAAAAGGCATCTGTAGAGGTGGCACAATGTCCACCATACTGTCCTCTCCATCCCCATGTCAGACTCAATTCTAGCAAAGGGGTCTTGTTGATTTATTCATCATTTCTGGCTTTAGTTTTCAAATTTCAATAATAGTATACTCACCAATGTGGGCTTCAAAAGATTTGTAAGATCAAAGTCTGTTTCCTGTTAACATCTGAATGTCTGCTTCAGTGTTTCTGAGAGTTCTGTCCATATTCACTTTGTCAGAGGTAAATGGTTGTTACTTTGGGGACATCCTTAAAGGAGAATGTACAAGGGTTTCAGCAAATTATCTAAGGCATTGTTTTCTGAAATGTTTTAATACGATGTAGAACATCTGTGTTTGAAAAGTCAATTTGGGAGGGGTCCCCCCACTCCTCTATTCCCCAGTCAGGCCCCATGGCCAGACAAATTACATTAGTTTCATTTCTAGAATATGCCAGAGCCTAACTTCCCTTGACTCTTTTCATAGTTTGTCAAGAAAGAACAAAGCATAGCTAAGGAAACACGCAGCTGAAGTCGCACTTTGGTATTAACGGAGAACTATGTATTCACAAATTATCACTCATGCGAACAGAGAAGGTCATCCATCCCAAGTGCTCCCGCACATCTGCAGCCACATGCTATAGAGGAAAGAAGGATTTCTGCATCCTGAGAAATTTGCTGTAGGAAACACTACATGACACTCTTTTCCTTTTTTAATTTCCTGCATCCTTCTGAAAGGAAAAATGACATACAGGAGATATTTTTCCTTTTGCTGTGACCTGAGAATAGAAAGAAACAGACAATAAGCTGTAAAACTGCTACTTAAATCAAAATCTGGAAACGATACCAGCCATTACTTGTATTCCTGACTATTAATAATCACAGAAAATTGCACACAGATTTATAAGTATGTACATGCACACAAGTACAGACCACAAACAAAATTTGATTTGTGCTAAAAATCTTACATTTTACTTGTGATTGAAAGAATACCAGGATCTTGGTACAGGAACTTGGAGACTCCAATTGTATATCTCAGATTATTTTTATTTTATATTCTCATCTATTTCATAGTAGAGATAATCGTATCAATTGAAATAAGACTATAATGCAAGGGACATGAATAATACTTTATTTTAATTATATACTTCCATATATAATATATTTAATTATATACTTCCACTGTGGTGGTCTGAATAAAAGGGCCATCATAGGCTCATATATTTGAACACCTAGTCATCAGGAAGTACCACTACTTGAGAAAGATTAGAAGGTGTGGCCTTGTTGAAGTAGGTATGGCTTTGTTGGAAGAAGTATGTCAGGGGGTGTGATAGGAGGTTTCAAAAGCCCAAGCCAATCCTAGACTGTGTCACTCTTCCTGCTGCCTGTAACCCCAAACAGAGAACTCTCAGCTAATTCTCCAGCGACATGTTTGCCTTCATACTGACGTCCTTGCCCGTCATGTTCCCGAACACGGTGATAATGGAAAAAAACCTCTGAAACTATAAGCAAGCCTCAATTAAATGCTTTCTTTCATAAGAGTTTCTGAGGTTACAGTGTTTCTTCACAGCTATAGAACACTTACTAAGACAATAAAGTCTAATGATCAAGATTTTGCCTTATTTTTACAATTTAGAAAGAATATTTGTGCTCTATAGAGACATTTAATTTCTGTTTTCTATATTGAAATGATGAACATTTAAAAAATATGCTTTAATTTAAAACCTCATATAAATGATCCCTGATGATGATCTATAAGATACTTTGTAAACGTTTAAAAATTGTTCCACACATCTACTTTATTTTATAAATTATGTGACTATTTCATGGTGCTAATCATATTTTTTAAAATCTTATTTTTATGATTATGAGTATTTTGTATACATATATGTAAGCATACCACACGCATGCCTGATGCCTACCAAGGCCAGGAGAAGTTCACAGATCCCTCAGAAGTGGAGTTATATACGATTGTGAGCTTCCTTGTAGTTGTTGGGAACTGAACTGGGTCCTTTACAAGAACCTTTACATACCCCTTTATTACCATTTCCGCAGCCTCACAACCATTTTTATGGTCTTTGAAAAATGAAAGCACTGATAAATATTGAGATAGGATCTAAATGAATTTCCCGGCAGCAAATCAATTGTTTTCATCTTCTCGAATTTTAAACCTAGAGATCTAGACAAAGCAGGCTCTTGTTTCAACTGTGTTTTCTCCTTAAGAAGAAACAATGCATTTGCAGCAACCAAAACAAGAACAGTGTCTACAGGAAGGGGTTAATCAGCTTTTATCCTTCAGTAAAGTATGGGAGGTATGACATGAACATCAAGCCAGGCAGCCTTTGAGGGGAAGACCGTTATGAGTTTACTACTGAAAGTCAGAGAATTCTGGACTCCCATTCAAACGTTCTTTTGTGAACTTAAGTAATTCAGTTCAACTACCTAAGCGTCAGTCTCTTCACTTACAGAATGGTAACAATAACAATATCCTTGTTGGATATGTGTAGTGGGTAGCTGTTCCAGCTTTGACCTTGAAACATTGCCCCTAGAGTGACAGCAGGGAACTGCCACACCTGCCCGTGACCTGCCCCTGAGGCGTGGCTGAGAGGGAACTCCTTAAGACTCCAGGTACATACATATTTGGCCCTTCTGGATATCTCATGATCCTGGAAGCTAGACTGGACACCAAGCCAGAGTTCTCTGCTGTATGTTACCTATCTCTCCTGGATCCTGTAACCAACCCTTATTGGCAGTAAATTATCCCAGAAATAAACCTCTCTTGATTACCAGATAAATTACATGGAATTGCCTCATTAATTACAGTAATAGGCATGTCTGATAAGTATTTATGTTACTTATTAATTAGTTCATGCTAATAATCAGGAAAAATTATAACCACCATGAGATGCTATACCTTGTACCCATTAGAATGGTTATTATAAAAAAAGACCAATAACATTAAGACATTGAAGAAAAGAGAGGCTTTGTGCATTATTCAGTGGGAATTTAAATTAATACAGCCACTTGGGAAACAGTATAAATGTTTCTTTAAAAAATTTGAAGCTACCATATGATAAAGAAATCCCAAATTTAATTATATATTTAAAGGAGATACAATCAATTCTGAAAGAGATGTTTGCATTCTCATGTTCATTACAATATCATCTACAATAGACAATATATAAAATCACCCTAAATAAACATACAGATTTATAAATGTGCAGTAATACATATAAAATATGGAGTACTATCATCCTTATAAAGTAAAAACCTCTTATTTGCAAACATGGAAAAATGTGAAGTGTGCTGTGTTTATGAGTGTGCCAGACAAAGAACAACAAATACCATGTGATCTCAAAAGCTTGCAGAATACAAAAAAAAGTTGAATTCATAATAGCAGAGAGTATAATAATTGTGTAGCTGAAAGTCAGTCAGGCAGGACACAAGAAAACTTCTGCTACATAGTTGTCAGAGAATGACTGGAGAGTGAGACATGAGAAAACATGGCCAATGGGTAAAAAGTTTTACAGAGAATAAATATGTTCTTTGGATTAATTATAAGTCACTGTGCAAGTAATTAGTAAGATTATAGTATATTCTTGAAAATACCTAAAAGAATAAACCTTAAACGTGTTTTATATAAAAATAAATGCAGGAGCTGATGAAAACTTTTAGTTCTTTATAATGATTGCATATTTAACAAAAATAACATGATATAAAATAATATATAATATTATCATGTATGACAGAAAGCAGTCAAAAATAACAAATTAGTATATGTGTATTATTTTGATATGATGTTCACTTAATTCCTCTCTGTGTGATAGAGTTTATTAATTATAGCTTATCAACATTTACTCCTCCGTTGATACTGTGACTTTTAATCACTATTTTTCAACAAATATTGGATATTGATTATGCAGTAAGCATTGCCTTGGCATTTGGGGATTTTATAATTACTCCATATTTACTAATGTGTTAGCCATGGTTTTTCATTGTCTCATATTTTCTATCATATTGCCCTCTTAGCATCATTTTCTTTTCTCTTCTTTCTAAGACAGGTTTTTCTCTGTGTAGCTTTGGTGCCCATCCTGGATCCCTCTCTGTAGACCAGGCTGGCCTCCAACTAACTCACAGAGATCCACCTGGCTCTGCCTCCCAAGTACTGGGATTAAAGGCATGCGCCACCACTGCCCAGCTTTAGTATCATTTTCAAGTGATCACAGATACATGCAAAAGTTTGACTGATAAGTAATTCCCAACATAATGGATCAGTATTGTAAGGAACTCATTTTTTTCCCATATTGAAGAAAAACCTGATACAGCTATTATTCACAAACTCTCAAAGTTGCCAACAATTGAAAAACATTCTTGCAAGTTGGTGTTTGTATACAATTCATTTCCCCTGCCTATGTTCCATTACTTACTTTATCTATAGTTCATTCTCTCCAGTCCCTGTCACCTTCTCAACTTGCCATGATGTAAGGCAATTATGACCAAAAATAAAGTTGGGATGCAAACAAGAAAACAATATAGCAAAACCTTGTTAATCCAAGGCAACTTCATTCAAAATAACATTCAAATTGAATCAACAGTTATTCCCCAGTCAAATAGATATGGTTTCTCATTAAAATTGTTCATTTAATACAAAGCATGCATTATGAATTATTTAAGGGAGAAATTAGGTCCCAAGAGTACCTTGCATTATTAAAAAGGTACGAATAATTCCAAGAGATGCTACAAAATAGCTGTACATCAGCCACAAGTGAAACTGCATCCGTGAGCCACAGGGGGCTGCAGAGTTGGAGCATGAGATAATCATGCAGTCACCCCTTCTCTTTTAATACAAATATACAGGACCATCTTTATAAGTCTGTGACATTACTCAGAGGAAGAACTTCACTGATAATAAGGGCATTCAGAATCAGGTACAGAATTCTTTCATTTTAATAATTAACAATAATCAATTTAAGAAGTTTGATCCTAACTATGATCTAATAAATCAATGGTAGACTTTGTGGGTCTTGAATTTTTAAAGACTGTAAGTTTCCCATGGTGATCGCTGTGGTTTTATCCTGGAGCACTCAGAGTCTCGCTGTCATGACAAGGTTCTGAGTGTAGCCAAGTGAAAGAAGTTGCAGTAGCAGTGCTGCATTTTCAGGAGACAGATGCCCTTGCTGTGGCCTCTGAAGGAGAGCGGCGGTGATGGAATGCTCACAGAACTCAGATACTAGCTTCCAAACAATACACTGAGAATGCCTAAGAACCTGAGAACTATGTTTTAGAGGTGCTATAAAAGGACGAATGAAGATTATTCAAAAATGTTCACTGTCTCATCTCTGTCTACAAGTAAACCTTACTTAAGTCAGGCTCTCGGGGGATACAGGTGGTATCTCTTTTAAAACTATCAAGCAAGCCAAGACCTGACAGTACAGTAAGTATTGTGGGAGCTACTTCTTGCTACCAGGCATAATACTACCGTGACATCCCCCTCTGCTACAGGCTATGTAACTCTTGAGAACAATTATTCCCCATGGTAGGCCAAGTAGTGTCGATATGACAATTCATTTGGGAGATTTGTAAATCATTAGAAAAGGTTTGCAGTATCTTATCCCCTAAGGACCATAATGTGTTATGTCACCATGGTGATTTATAGCTTCCTCCTAAATTTCCTTGGAATAGATAAACCATGGGTAGCTTAACATCTTATACTCTTTAAATTAACCAGCATAACTATCTCTACATGATCCATTTACAGCACAGAGAGGGGTAGATTTGAAGGTTAAATCAAAACCACATGCTAGCAGAATCTGTTGTATGGTAATAATTCATATTGTGAAAAACTACAATTTTGAGGAAAGCCAATTCAATTCATGCAAAAGGCATGATAGCATTATATTTGGAAATACAATTTGTTAACAGCCATACTTAAGACAAATATTTATTTAAACTATATTGTGTGTGATTTCTTAACCTCAGCAGGAAACAGATATTTGAGAAGGGCCCCTATTCTAAAAATGAAGAACAGAAGTCTATGAATTTTCTACTGTCTCATCTTGAGTCCACCACACCAATGTCAAAAAGCAAGCAAAACATGCAAGCATCGCCGAAGCCTTTCTGCCTCCATTTTGGACATCACTTTGAGCAGAGCTAATGCGATAGCTTTTAAACTCCAGTTTATTTCTAACAGCTGTCTGTGGTCAACTCTGCAAATATATTTCAAAAGTCAAAGGAAGCAGAGTTGGTATTCAGCCCTTAGGAATACCCTGGTGCTGTTCCTTGTAGAAAAGTGATCAGGAAACTAGTGTCCATTCCTCCATTGGGAGGAAAGTCATCTCTCCCTCCCTCCCTCCATCATGTTTCCTGATCTCCTACTCGTCTTCCATGTGCTTGGCTCCTCCCTCTATATAAGCCAGTTAGTCCCATCTTCAGGTGCCCTTGCACTCTGGCTGCATTTATCCCCTGTGGTTATTGGCAATCCTGCATTCCATGGCAGATATATGTCCATCTCCAGGACAAAAATTCAAATTGTGTAAGTTCTATGACCTCCTCTGAATGCACCTCGTGCCTCTGCAGTACAGGACCAGCCTGATATTTAGGAGTAAACGATGGGCCCAGAGTCCATGTTTTAGTTATACATGATGGTGTGACAGCCTTGCTTACATGGTTCCAGGATCAAAACAAAATTTTCTGTGTAGAAACTCTGAGATTATCAGGCATAAAGACAAGACAATAAGGTCACTGGTTAGAAATTGTCAGTGGCTGTAAAGTGTTAGAAATTGTTTGTAGCTGGGTATACACAAGCTGAAATTAATACAAGGTGTCTGATGATGGGTAACAGGATATACATTCAAATTAGTTTGTGTCAGACGCTTTTTTAACTTTTAGTAGCATCCATTAGGGAACGAGTAATAATGGAATTCTTAGGCTATTTGACAGATGATGTACCCTCTCTCAGTATGAGAGGTAAAGGAACACAGGGACCATACACTTGACATATCCATGATTTTCGTTTTCATGTTTACATCCAGATTGGATCTACCTATAGTGAGGATGCACGAGTATCACTCACATTTTTCACAATGTCTGATCCAAGTTCTTAGTTTGCATCTGTTTCTGTATGTTATTAGACAAGTTGTGTCTCTCACTTATCTCTGGAAATTTTGGGTCTGCATCCCTTCTGCATCTTCGCATTCACTGTTTCCTTCTGAGCACAATTCCTAACTGAACAAAGCCGTTGACCACTCCAATCCCCTTTCTCAAATCACTTCAGTCTTGTATTCCCAGACCCAGCATGTTATAGTCAAACATTTTTCTAGTAACTTAATTAATCTGTGAAATACCATTGGCTCAGCTCACTTTAGATAATTTTTTTAAACAAAGGAGAACAGATTGTCATTCAATTTGAGACTAGATTCAATTTTATATGCTATGGAAGAAGTAGCAGTAGAAATATATTCTGCTGGTTCCCACTACCATAGCCATGATTGGGTTGGCTTTCTCAGTTCTGGGTCAAGCCACCACGGCAGGGGAGGGAAAGAACATTGATTTGCTTTGTTTTTTTGTTTTTGGTTATTTTTTTTTTATTTAAAAGCTTTTCAACTCTGTGTTCGCATACACCTGTAAGAAGGCTTCACTCAGCTACTCAGAGCTTTGCCATCTGAACTCAGAATGCAGAGCAACCCATGCCCAGGACAAAACTCATTGCCTAATGCTACCCCAGATTATGGGTCAGACAGATAGGACAAGGAGATGACAGCAGTGTTAGTGGCCCCCCATCACTCTGTGCTTGCAGGGTTAGACACAAATGTAATTAAGGGGTTGTGCTCCTGGTCTCAAGGTTAATTAACCACAGGAAAATGACACCTTCAGGTGTCCTGTATCCTAACAGCAATTGCGAGGAGAAGCACAATTTTAAATTGACAGGGATGACACAGCCAGACAGCACGGTTGCCGTGAGCAGAGGTGAAAACCAAAGCCTGATGGAGAGGGCTGTGCTGCCAACAAGATGGACAAAGGAAACATCCATCCTGCCTCTGTGAGACACAGCACTGCAGCGGAAAAAACTCACCCATGATGCCTCTCTGGTGGTGGTGGTCCCTGGCTGACCACACCTTCTGCCTTGCTCCTTCAATTCAGCCCCACACAATGAAGGCTGATACACCCGTGCCCTGGCTTGCACTCACCAGACGAGTATATTCTTGAGATTACCCACTTCTTTTCCAGAGCACACCAGTTCCGCTTGGTGACACGAAAGTCCCAGGTACTCACTGCTAATGTCTTTCAGGCAGCTCTTTCCTTCTTGGAGGCTTACTTTCTTTCCTTTAAAGGCCTCTTTTGGTTCTGCATTAAATCGTGATTCCTGTTCTCAAGCTATGTCCCCAGTGGGTTTCTCTGTATCTTGCAAGCCCTTAAGACCAAGAAGAGATTGATTTAGACAGAGAGTCTTCTGCCCTCAACATCAAAGCTTGGTGTTCTCACCAGGGATGTTTATGTTCCTTACAGACCTGGACCCCGTGCAAACTACTAAGATACACTGGGGTAAAAAAAAAGGAAGAAATTCTTTTTTCTAGGGAGATTGGAAGCCCATCAGACAGTGCAGACACCACTTGGGCTGTGCAGAACTCTGAGTGCAGTGTGCAAGACTTTCTCCCCTACCAAATCCCCTCTGCTATCAATTTGTAAACAACTCAGCTCTGCCTGCATTTGTGAGCAGGCAATGCCAGCGCCACACTGTGCCCTTCTCTGTCCCCAGCCAAGTGCACCTGCTGCCCAGGGCTCTGGCTGCTCCTGCTGCTACTGCTGTTATTATGCCCTGCCATAGCCTGTCCTGCTGCTTGAGGGACTTGTGACATATCCACAGTGAGGGGAGGCATGTTTATTAGTTTTAATTGGTGAACACAGCTAGACTGTGACATTTGGGGGGGGGGGTATGCTGCGTGTCATTCACCCTGCATCAGATGCTGGCTGTGGTGGCAGATGTAGGTGGATCAGTTAAGAATATAACATAACTGATTATTGACTCCTCAGAAAAATGCATCGCTGCATACCTCCGTTTCCAGGTAGGTAGGAAGCCCCTTCCCATTCTTGACACACTTCGTTAGTCCTGTTCTCTCCTAAGAGGAGAGTTATATTTATTTTGAATTACAAAGGCCTCATTAACAATATATCCCCACACTTCCTCCACAACCCATTAACACCTAGTCTAAAAACGTGAGTGCCTGTTTGATGCAAGCGCCCTCCTGACTGTACTGCGGCCGCCCCCAGAGTTGCAGGAGGTCCTCTTTCCTAAATAACCTCCTGGATGTGCAGTTAGCAAATCCCTTTAACAAAGAAGTTTTTTCCAACCAGATTCTTCTCGCAGTGAAGTCGGTATTAGTATCCTCTCACTGTTCTGAATCCTCAAAGCTGCGTGAATTTTCAATCCAGCTGATTTAGTTTTGCGCGTTGTTCTCCCTCTTTGCTTCTGTTGTCTCCTTACCCCTTCTGCAGCAGGCAGGGGAACATCCTGGGAGCAAAGTCCGGTAGAGCGCCCCTGCTCTTTCCAAGACCCAGTGAACGCGTGGGCTGCTGTCTTTTATGCACTAGTCCTGCTCCCTGGTTCAAAATCACACACAAACTTAACCTCGAGGGAAAAAACAAAACAAGACAAATACACACAGAAAAAGAGTCTTCATTTCAGAGTTCTTTACTCTCAATCCATTAACAAAGCACTGGCTTCCTCGGACCATTTGAAGCCAATAATTTGGCTCAGAATTGCTGCGTTGTGCTTTAGTAACGGCGTTGTATATCACATATGGCTTCCACTCCTTCATACATTTATATCAGACTCAGCTGCTGTGGGAAGGAACTGAGACAGTACTCTAGCGGCCAATGTGCAGAACCAGGAACTGTAAAGCTCTTCTGCCACCTAGCGGTGAAGCAAGAGCTGCAATCACGGGGGAATGTAAGTATGTCTACAGGGCCTGGAATAGCAACTTATTCAACTTTGGCTACAGTCTGAAAACAAACAATTAAAACATATACCCCATGTCCCCAAGTGTAGTAATTAAAAGAGACCTAAAAGTGATGATTTAATGATTCCCGATCTTTAAACACTAAACAGCTGAACACAATGCCCTGTGCTGATAACTAATTACAGTACTCCCAAATGTTGATTTATCAAGCAGTGACCCAGGCAAATAAAACCATTGTGTGGAATTTCTTCTCAGGGCTTTTTAAGACTATCTGTTGCTTCCTGGGCTACCATTCCAGAGCTGAAGGAAGGCTTATGGTTTGCTAGTGGAATGGGGATTATCTCAAACAAATACAGGTCGTGTGACAGCAGATAGGAACAGCCACAGAAGACATCACTCTCCTAAACCACAGTAAATAATAATAATAGTAATAATAATAATAAAGATCCAAGGGACTCAAACATGATCATAACACAATCACTGAATACTATATACAGAATGTTTTAAGTAATGGCATTAACTATTGCAAGATAAACTAAGAAATTACCAAATAACTTCCCAAACTCTGCTCTTACTCTTTTGACACAAAGGAGAGTCTAACGAGTTCCTCTGTTGAAACTGGAAGTTGATGTGCCTTCTAAAGACAAAATAACGTGAGATGTGGTGAGTACCCTGAGAAGATCTTAGGAAACACTACAGAGCAGATGGCATGGTTCCTCCTCGTGAATCTCAGCATTCAACGCAGAGGTTTAGCTAAGGCTAAAGGTGTAGAAACTGCAGGATCAAAATTTTCTCTCTCTCTTCTAAAAATGTACAATAAGAAAACAAAACCTTTGCATAATTTATGGGTGCCCCAGGACAGTTTTAAATTATGCAGTCTACATACCCATGAAAAGTTGCTTAATATATCCCTTAGTTACTTCATGATGATAATTGTCCCCTTAAAACACACACACACACACACACACACACACACACACACACACACACACACACATTTCTGAAACTACTGGGTTAGGGAAGCATGCTTGCCTCTATCAGGTGAAAAACATTTGTTTCTAAAACAAACCCATCAGTGAGCTGGGAAGTACAAGGCATTTGCTAACTAAATGCTTCTTTTATCAATTCAGTGGTCTGACTCACTCGGAAAGCTTCTTAAACCTGCATAATGGAATTAAAAGCACTCTCAATAAAGTTCATTACCTTAGTGGCCCTTCCCATCTTTCTGTGAAATTAACTGTGTCTCCTCTATGTACATCTACTTAAGGCAGTAATTTAATAGCAATAACATCTATGCCAAGAGAGTTATTTTCCCCTTGGATCTACTTCACACTTAGAAATCTTTTCCTGCTACTTAGAATAAAAACCAGAAACATGGCTTATGTCCTTCTGTTGCGGGATATAATAAAGAAAGTGACAAAGGAAGAGAAAAGAAAAAGTTTAAAAATCAGTGATCCTAGAAAATCAGGATGCCACAGACATATACTTAAAATGTTTAATGAGAGAGGGAAAGGAATGGCCTTCACTTAGGTTTCTCACTCAATAGTATATAAAATTGTATTTTAAACTTTCCTCTTATGGGCTTTTCTCAAGAGTGCCTCTCCTTTTGTTTCTCTGAGTCCCACCCTATGAATACCACATCTAATCTTGCCCAATTCTATTTAGTAAATCATTCTTGATTCCTTCTGTTCATACCCTTCCCAGGACTTAATCTTTTTTTTTTAATTTAAGAATTTTTTTAAATTTATTTTACCTACCAACCACAGATCCCCTTCCCATCTCTCCTCCTGCTTCCCCCCAGCATTCCCCACCTCTGACCCACTCCCATCCCGTCCTCCAAAAGGGTAAGGACTCCCATGAGGAGTCAGCAAAGCCTGGTACATTCAGTTGAGGCAGGACCAAGCCCCTCACCCCTGCATCAAGGCTAAGCAAGGCATCCCACCATAGGTAATGGGCTCCAAAAAGCCAGCTCATGCACCAGGAATAGATCCTGATCACACTGCCAGGGTCCCAACAAATAGACCAAGTAACACAACTGTCTCCCATATACAGAGGACCTAGTCCGAAACCACACAGGTTCCACAGCTGTAGGCCTAAGGTTCATGAGTTCCTACCAGCTTGGTTCAGTTGTGTCTGTAGATTTCCCCATCATGACCTTGACCCCCCAGGGAGGTATTCTTATCCCCATGTTAGAGAGGGCACCGTAGCATACATGCAACTGTCTTCTCCTTTTATGGAGAGCTCACTGAGGTTTTATAAATACATTCTACCTTCTCACATGACTCAGGAATGATTGATCTATCCCAGCTCTTGCAGAAATCCAAATTTGGCAAATCACTATCATCTTATTATCTTCATTAATTAAAGGTAGTCATGAGACCATAGTTACACCTGCAGAATAGGAGAGATACTGAGGGACACACAGCAGGGACTGGGGAGAAGCAAGTGATAAAGGCTGTGGAGCTCTTTGACTGCATGTTGGGGAAATACAAACTTCATTTTTGCCATTTAGATGTGGTTCTTGAAGTTCTTATTTGTGGCTCTCCTTCTTCCTCAGGATCTTTAGCCAGCCTGAGAGTGGAGAGAGATAGCTGTGGCCCTCAAGAAATCAGTGAATCAACTCAACTTTATTCTAGAGTATAGGAAATATATAAGATTGGAAAGCTTGGAGACAAACCCTAATTTGCAATAAGTGACATGCTCTTATCATAAGGTTTCACATGTGGCAACAGGGTCTTACAGCAAACAAAGCTGCTAGTACAAGTCTTAGTTACCATATGTGCAGCAGGGGGAAAGCTGCTAACAGAAAACTGTGCCAAGGGTCTCTTCTAGTTATAAATCAGGCATCCAAGCTTGGAGACAGCTTTCAGATAAGGTCAGTCCTCTGGACATAGAGGCATTCTCCAGATAAGAACAGGTAGAGAGGAGAAAGTCTCACTGGGGAGGGAGTCCCTCATGTAGCCAAGCTTTGGAGGGAGCTGCCAGGCCATAATAGACTGTAACATCTGGCCATTTCCCAACACTTCTAGCCTTCGTTTATCTCTGAATAAAGTAGTATTTAGGATCATCATAGACTAATGGAATGTTGGTCTACAATGACATTGGACTTGAAGGTCTGTTGCTTCCAAGGCATTGACCTTTGTATAGAATTAAGTCATGATCTTAGAGTGTTTTCACCAAATATATCTTAATTTCTCCTTCTCAATTGACACATGATTGAAATGTGTCAGATTGGCTCCAGAACTCATTCTCTTCAATACATTGTTTATAAACTCAAAGTTATTCTGTGTCCATTCCCCAGCCCCAAGGGATCATTTGGAATCTATAGATTTTGCTTTCTAAGTATTTCCAAAATCAGTCATTCATAGCCTATGCTGTTACATTCACTATTTTAATTCAGGTTCTCATTTTTTTATTTCATCCCAGATTAATTTATCTCTTCTCTTACAAATAAAGTATATATTTTGCTTTCATGTGGCTCTGCAAAGTTCATATACTACAGTTCCAGCTTATGCTTAAAATGCTTACAACAATGTGCATCTCCATGTTTACAGTAAACCTTGAATGTGTGTGTGTGTGTGTGTGTGTGTGTGTGTGTGTGTGTGTGTGTGTGTGTGTGATTGGTATTATCTACCTGATTCATGCTTCAAAACCAAACTTTCTGGGACATTTGTTTTGTCTTTCCCTGTTAAAATGATTACCCACCTTAGCTAATACAGCTTGGCTCTGAGCCTTCACAGATCATTCCTTTGGCCTGTAATGACTATAATCTGCTCCACCAGCATTTACTTAGTTGGGTATTCTGTAATCAGATACCTGTAATCAGGTACTGAATCCTCTTATTGTAACTTCTGCTCTGGTGGTATGCCCTCCTCCCACATTGGGCCACCGATGTCTCTTAAACAGACCTGTCTTCATTTCATCTGTGAATTTGCTCCACTAGAAGATGATCTCATTTGAAGTATGAAATGTAAGTTCATAAGTAACTCATACCATGTCTGGCATAAAAAGCCCTCTCACTAAATGATTTTTGATAAAGACTGTTTCTAATAGCATTTTGACTTAAAAACATTCCTAAAAGTCACCGAGCTTGTTAGTGGTGCAAATGCAAAGAGAACTGAGATCTTGATTCCCAGTCTTGTTATCTCTCTATTGCAAACATGATGTGTTAGACTTATTTTACACTGGGCTCTAGCAGTTAAAACTCACAACTGTCATTTAAGACAAATAGCTTCTTCTACGGGCTTTACCACAACCCTACAGCTGGAATTGCCCAAAGCAAACCTCTGAACCTTCCTATATCCTCTTTTCTAGTTACAAAATAGGGTGATACCATTTCTCATCTCTTTTTGCTTAGAAATGATTAATGTAAGAGCCAGTGAAACCAATATCCATGGAAATGATTAAAGACAAGGCTGCTAGTAAAAACAAAAATCAAAACTGTACTCAAGCCATTTTTAGGTTTGCTAATATCTTTCTGTGTGTTTATTGAATGTATGAAGTGCAGCCACAGTGTAACAGCTTGAAGTACAAGACATTTCCCCATCTTTAAGAACTGAGAAAAATCACACAAAACAAATGAGTCTTGAACATCCTCTGTACATGCCTTTCTGTGCTTAAAGAAATAGAGTTTAAAGCATGCTGCTATTTTAATATGTGGTTATGAATCTGGCAATGAGGCCCTGACTTTGTAGAAATTTAATTTTTTTAATTTAACTTTTTTATTGATTCTTTAGGAGTTTTACATTATGTACCCCAATTCCACTCACCACTAGATCCCCTCATATCCTCCCCTCACCCCTGCAGCA